GTTGCTTGTTTATGAGTATGCATAGTTATGCAAAAAATTTTGCTTGAGTCTTCACCTCTTGACGATAGAGCCTCTAACTTTGTATATTATGTATTCGAAAGAGCATAATTATCATTTCTGGTGGCTCAGTACTTTGGTTTGGGTAGTTTGTTCAGTCTGCAAAAATTGTCAAAAAAGATTTTATTAGCTTAGTTCAGATTAAATATAATTCTAATCTTGATATATACTTATTTTTTCTCATGCCTATAACTTATTCTATGCTTTTAATCAACTATGACAACTAGCACAAGCAAAACCTTTTTAGGTAAGAAGTTTATATATTACTAAGACTTTAAAAAAATTATTATTAATTTGAAATTTTAAATAAATCTATGCTTTATATAAAAAGTATTATCAAATATACAATTCGAATTAGATTTACTTAGACAAGAAAATGCCAAACTTTTGAGTGAGAATATTTTGCTCCTAGCTAAGGAAGCAGGGCTTATGGCCAAAATCATGGAGTTTGAACAATTCGCAAAAGAAAATGTTGAGCTTAAAGCAAAATTAATATTTGATATAAAAATAAATCACATATTATCTAGCTATAGATTAGTAAAATCATAGTATATAATCTGCTATAAATCATTATAAATCGCTATAAATTGCCAAATTATTATAATTACTAACTATGACAGGTTTTAATATCTCTGTCATTTTTGATAAAAAGATAAAACATTGCCCAAACCCTTTAATAACCACCCTGGGTATGATATGAAGTATGTTATATTATACTGCCTCAATTATTGTAATTAAGGTGGTAAACAACTTGAGCGACTCTATGCAACTGAAAAATTATATAACAACTTGTCTATTGTAAGGCAAGATGAAAATCTTATTCAATGGACAGTGCGAGTTAGAATTAATTTTCAAGATTTGTTACTCCAACAAAAATTTAATGTATATCACCAATCCTGCTTATTCACTTCTTATCCTGAAGGTAAGTTAGAAAATTTTAATTACTACCACCCAAAACTATTCAAGAATGAGACTGCAATTTGCTTTGGGTATTGGAAAGTAATTTGTGTTAATATTGATGTAAAGCCAAAGAAAAAGTATTATTTCTCAAGAGGTAGATATATAGAAATTCTTAAACCTAAAGACCTAATGCAGAAACATTAGGATTATGGATACAATAAAGCTAGAACTAGAGATAGTTCAGCAAGAATTATTCAACAGACATATAGACAATTTTAAGAAAGAGTACTATCGAATACACGACTTGCTTGAAACAGCTTAGCAAATAATAATACTCTGAATAATATAAAATTTTTAGGTTTAATAAGACATGAAGTGAAAAATTCTCAGACTTGAGAACAATTTAATCAGTAGTGTACTAAATGGATTGAATTATATAAAAACAATCCTATGATATGCAGTTCCATTATTAATAGACAATATAAAAAATATTATATTTCAGATAATTGGATAAATTTTAAAAAGAATCAATTGCAGGTTAGATTTCAAAAATGACTTTTAGAAATAGAAGCATAGTATATATTTATTTTATTTATTAATTGCTTCACAGGTATAAAATATCTATACTATTTATATAACATTTTTTGGCTATGCCAGCTCTACTAATACTCTTGAGAACATAGATAGGTAGTTGTTCACCATTTTTCTAATGCTATTCTTGAAATCACAATTGAGAAATATATTATAAATTTCTAGAATAGAAAATACCAATATGAAATAAAAATCTATGAAGTAGACTCAGCAGATAATGTATTTTTTATCTTGCATTTTTGTCATAATTCTATCTCTTTTTGCAAATCTAGTAGAGTATCAAACCTTAGCTAAATTGCAAGTAGATTATCTTCTGCTTTATTAAGGTCAAATACAATAAACTCACCCTTATAAAGGTAGTTATTAATAACTATCAATGCATCTTTTACATCATTGGTATACTATCCTACAATTTTGGCATAGTTATGAGAAGAACTACCACCGTTAAACAT